CTAGGACTGCACAAGTATATAGCATTAGGCATTGATACCGCTCTATCTGCGAAAACCAACTAATAAGAAGCTTAACACTAGAAGTCTTATATTACTTCCACTCAAGGTGTACTCTTAACATGCGATTTATTCCGGTAGTTCTATAAGGCCAATGAAGACAATAGTATTAATGATAACGTTGATAGTGATGATGATGATAATGATGTGGTTGCTATAAAATAGGGCTGGGAGGGCGAAGATTACTACTGCCTAAGAAATATATTATAAGTAGTTATAGAAGATACCAGGCGTAATGCGCCAAGTAAAGTCATTTTCGATAATATCAAGGTATTGAAAATACTGTAACATAATCACAATCTTTTAGTCCGGATGTTTCTGGATCAAGGAATCAAGAAACTTTGTGACAGTTTTAAGACGCTCGGATTCATCATCTATCCCTGGTGTCCACTCTTTTAACTCCTCCAACAATTTAGTTCTCTTCTCTTCTCATTTAAATTGATCTTTGCTGTAACGGCTGTTGATCTTCTCAGCGGTTGGATTGAACATATCTTCATCCGAAAAGCTTGTAAGAATCTTTGGAGCAGACGTAATTATGTTCCACGAATTTCCCGAGATGCTTTCCCACTTTCGTTATAACCATCTCTTGTGAATTTTGCCATGAATTTGCGGTCATTGGTATATGGATGACCTTTGATAAAGTCGAGATACCCACTCATGTGCCATCGGTTGTGTACTAGCGTGCCTGGCATCAGACACCATGACGAAACATGCAACTATATCATTGCCTTGTGTCGCTTTGGATCTCTTTTACTGACCATTTGCGCCTCATTGGTATATCATCTCTTGGTAGAGAGTCCAGTGAGCGCCTAAAACTGGCGGCTAGCGCTGTTGTAGGCCTTCTGGGCATTGGGGCATTTTGATCACCATTTTTCCCCCAGGCCTTGATAGTACTCATGTACTGGACTCACCTCTTAACGTGTGCTGCGGCAAACTCATATGAACACACTACAACGTCATAGGCGCCAGCCCAGATCGCATGCGCAGAGATCTATAACAACTACCGCTACTTTACCACTTAACTTTCGAAAAGTACTGGTACTTAGTTGTCATAGTTATCTATAACTTGCTGTGTTCTTAATTTCTATAAAGTAGTAAATTTACTATATACAATACAGAATAGCTTTGTAGGCCGCGATTTCTGGTCTCGCCAGTTGCGGGAGAGGCCATCTTGGAATCTTTGCCGCAAGAGTCTACCGGGCAAAGCAGAGTAGACGTCTTAGGGCCTGACTTCATGGGTGATCCTTCCGAGGTTTCAGTGGTTTCAGCTAGCAGTTTGCTCGTGAACTTCATGTTATGGGTCAAGATGCCTGTCTAAAGAGTTTACATTCATCTACTGTACTTAAGAAGACAAAGGGTAAGGTTGTCGTGCAACGTCTATTCTGATACTTGTTCGCTCGCTTATCCGTACATGGGATCAAAGTCATAAGGCAAATACAGCTAGGTCAAAAACGCGTTCAGCGTACCCAGCTTAAGATTACGTTAAACGCAGCACAATCTCACTTCATTCGAATAAAAGCAATTTTGCTATTCTTCCTCAAGCAACTGGAAGCTATCCAGAAGACTCAATGAAAAAAGGATTCGCGTCAGTCCGAGGTAGTGCAATACGGACGACACTGTGAGGACGACTATGAGCAAGCCCAGGGAGCCGTCCACTGGTTACAAAAATAAGTATAATCTTGAATGTGACCTTGGTCACGTTTCTGGGCGGAGTTAGCTATGACCCTGTAAAGAAAAGGCGAAGGTGTGAAGATGTAGAAGTAGGATAGAGAAAGACAATGTGACAATGTAACATTGTTGAGAGTAGTT